AGCAAAAAATAGGATTTGCTATTAAAAACCATAAGGTGCATTACTTATTTATAAAATAAAACAAAAGAAAAGCTATTAATAATAATGATTTATTTATTAAGGAAAATAAATAAAATAAAACTACGTAATAATTCATATTTATATTTTTATTTTACAGTGTATTAATTATGTGTGTGTACGTGGAATGTACTTTTTTGGCCATGTCCTTTCGAGGCTAATTTAACGAATATCCTGAAAGAAGTATCTTATTATTTGTATTAATCAATCATTATATTGTAAGGTAATTAATCCACCACCGGCACCGTTGAGATGGCGGGATGACGTACGTATGTTACAACGGTTGTGTTTTGTTTCCCCGAGTGATTGAGTGCCAATCCCTCTATACTCGGAATTTTAATTCCATTCCAGATTTGACAATTTTAGTGTTGCAACGTTATGACACGTACTAAACAGTGACGTTGCGAAATTATTCGATATGGAAATCGAATATTTCTGAATCGATTCCTCTCCTTTATAAATTTACCCTCGTAAACTAAGTTTATCAGGAAATAAAATATTTCTGAACTTATAATTTGGTTTTGACGATTAATTGACGATCTGAGACTTTTCTTTTGTAATTGTGTAAAAAGTGTGAAATTAATAAAAAATGTGATCATGAAGGAACATGACTAAATAATAAAACAGACATTTTATAAATTGTCGCCGTCATCGCTATCGCTGTTACTTTCTGTAACATTTATTATGAATTGTGTCTGTGATATTTATTGTCAATTAACATATCTAGCTTACTCATTTTTGCCTTTTCTTTGACAACATGTATTGTGTACGCATTTAGACCATTCGGTAGCCGTAATTTTTTTGAATGCCTTCCTGAAACTGATTCACTGATTGTTTATCGATTTTTGTGTTCATCACTACACTGTTATATGTGGTATCATTATTTCACGAAATGACAGTAGGTGGTGTCAAATCAAATCTGTAACAAGCCACAAATGGCGACAACGTTTTTGTAATTAGCTTCCAAAAGCATGACGAGATGTTTGGAAACACAAAATAAAATAAACATGTTACTCACTTATATATAAGATTGTAAGTTCTGTCCTGTATGGAGTAGGTATTGCACTCATCTACAGTTCAGTCCATAGTTCAGTTTTATTATCAGAACCGCTAAAGAGTGGAATACTTTGACTGAGTTTGTGCTCCCCGAAGGGTCTTGGGTGTCGTCAAGGCAGGAGTGAATATGTTGCCTATTGGTAAACGCGTTCCATCGTGGGTCACATCATGGCTTGCTACCAGGCAAAACGCCTGCCCATTCCCTACTAAATAAAATAAACAAATATAAAAAACGACTTTACTTTGCAATTCGAACTAAACTGGTGCCGGTGGTACGTAATTTTATAGATCACTAAGTAAATAATTAATCAAAATGTAACGTCTGTCTCTGAACCCTTAGTAGCTAGTCAGTACCAGCCACCAACCGGGGCAGCAGCGGGAGCGGGCGGAGCAGACGGACGCGGGCGGCCGGCGCGCAAGTGCTGACGAGCGGGCGCGGGGGGCGGCCGCGTGCTGGACGTGGCCAGCATCTCCGGCGGCGGCGGGTAGTACAGCTGCGTCAGCACGCCCAGCTCCAACTGAGCGCAGGCTGCGCTAATTAACATCAGCATCTCCAGGCCCACCAATGTGTCCGTTATCATCTTCGCCCAAGTCGAGTACAGTGCCACGAGACGTGCGAAGCTGGGCGCCGCTACAATATCCCTCTTGGAAATACCGCTTTGAGGAAACCGTGACAAAAAAACGTATGTTGTATCTATGCATGAACGTGGAGCAGCGCGCAAACACTGGACTACGTATTTAGAAATTAATCACATTGGATATACACATGAACGTTAATGAAGGAGCGCTGTTGTGCTCATTGGAAACCGATTGGTGGAAATATAAATTGTTAAATTATCCGGTAAATTAGTCAATAGGAAAATTTGATACGCGTGTGACACAGACGCATAAATAGTGCCAGACGAAACGTTAATTTGTCGTTATTATATATATATTGTATAGATTTCGACCAGTTCCGGTCTAACTGTTTAGATAATGCTTAACCGTATTATGGTATCTTAATTAACAGTTATGCAATTTAGCCCTATGTAAAATAAAACACTGGATTTGTATTTCTCAAAGACAGCTCAATTACTTATACATAGATTTATTCGGGGGCAATATTTAGCAATGCGATATTTTAGAATAATAAAAATGAATTATCATTGTTTTCACATTGGATATACACATTACTTGAAGTCACGTATGCTTCATAATTAGGTACTACAAAGTTGAATGCTTCAACCATATTTATTTCTTGTACCTATTTGTAACTTATTTTGTGGAGAGAAAATCATGTAATGAGTCTTACTGACTAAAAACCTCTTCCAATCCTTCTCTTGGTCCAGGCCGAGGACACTGTACTTTACTGTGCTTGACTCACGGCCACCTAATTGTAATTTGGCATAAAATAGTATAAGTACGACTACATTGTTTTAATGTCCCTCTTTTAGCTTGGTCTAAATAGTCGACACGTACTTACATATTTTTTATTTTCTTACAAAATTAGACACTTCGATCAGACAAGGATTTAAAATATCGTGTGACGTAACGAGTACATTTTGTACTCTATGGAACTTTACGTAGTTAGCCCTTGCTCAAGAATTTTAATTCGTTTTATCTTGGTATTGGTATGTTATACTTTGAAATAAAAAAGTACTTTTCTTATGTTTTCCATTATCTAACCGACCGCGACTGCAAAATAGACTTACAGTTCATCCTTTTTCAATGTTGACATTAAATAGGCATAGGCCATGCACACATACTTTTGTATGAGCATGCGCTCTCTGCATCAAACCTGTAGCGTCACCAGATCGCCTCGGCTTTAAGCTTCTCACGTGGAAGGGGCAGGAGCAGGGGGTATATTAACAGACTACTCAAAAATTTGTGGACCAAGCAGCGTCGACTCGTTGACCGGGCGGGGTCCACTGGTTGCTCGGGGGACCTTCATCGGTGTGAAGTGTCACAAGTGGACAATGAATGCACGCCATGCGACGAGGCAGTGCAGGGCGTTTGCCGGGTGACTCTGATAAGCTGTGTCATTAAGGTCCTTCCCTCCTCCATCATTTTGACTTTGACTTTGAACAGACCTTAACCGATTGTTTCACATGACGTGTGTATTGCTTTAACAACTTTGTCATATGCCCTGTCTGATACTCTTTACACGTCTGTGGATATTGAGTTAACCAGCGTGAATACTTTGTTATTGCATAGCTGCCTACAACAAACAACCAAGGTTTAGTTAAACCTTAGCGGGGCGCGGCGATCAAGCAACTATGGAAGACTCAACGATTAAAATCGACAGATGAGTCAACAAGTCTGACTTAGTGTGAGTCCTACATCGCGCAGGCATAGTCAGCGTGCGCATGATTTAGCACACGAGGAAATTCCCAGCGAGTAACTGTGGGGAAATAGTCCGCTACGAATAATCACATCGCCTGATCAGACGATCGTACGTTTTTCTACCTTCCTAACTAATTAAATATTAGGTAAGTCGCCCAGTCATCTTCTTGATTATCAAATTTTAGCAGAAAGTGCCTAAATAAACCAAAGTCGCCAAATTGATATGAAAGCCAATTGAACACATGAAGACACCTTACTCATAATCAACTTAATGAGATTTACCTTGTATTACCAGGTCAATTCAATATACTATTTTTTTCACATGTCTGGCTTAGGCCCATTTCGAATAGACCTCAGGCGTGGCCCAATAGGACTGATGTTGAGCCGGCGTTGGGGGGCAAGCGCAATAAGGTACCGCGGCCTCGGCAACAAGAGGAAAAACGAGGGGCTGGGGAGGGGGGTAGTCGAGTAGTCTGTAAGAGGCAGTCCTGATACTCCCTTTCGCCTACTTGGGCCAGAGAAGTCATTTGTTAATTTTCCCCTCACAACAAAAATGCTAAGGTGTATAAGTAAGTTTCAGTCTCTTACTGACTAGAAAACACGCCATTTTTTCTCTGGCTCCAATACAAACCGAACGAACGACGAAACTAAAGTACTTACGAATATCACGCTAGAACCCTCAATCCCGGCTGTACAACGGCCCTGATGGGCCCCACCTGTGGTCTCATCACTGTTGGGCGAGCGCTGAACGAGCGACCTTTGTTCCCGTCAGAGTTGATAAACAGGTACTTATAACGGCTAAACATGTATTTTTGAAACGTCAAAATAGAATAAGTCGGTCTGTCGGTTCCTCAGTGAAGCTAGGTGCTACTTCCGAAGTGTAGATTCGAATGGAGAAATACATCGTCATTAAATTTTACATCTTTTATCAAAAATCCGTACTAACAATCTAAAATAATGCTTCTATAAAAAGTCTAAGTTTAAAATCAACTATACATATATGTGGGTGCCCGGGCGCAGCGTAACGACAGAAGAAACGGAGAACGGAGTGGTTTTTAATCAGTAAGAGTCTGACACGCCCCCTCGCCCTCCCATGCGGGAGGAGGCATTTGATTATGTCCCCCTGGCTTACTACGACAGACCAGCACCAGCAGAGGTGCAGCAGTCAGCGCTGCGCACTGTGTCACGCACGCTGTCCACCGTCTGCTGACTGCCATCGTACCAGTGGGTGAATTAAAGTAATACTTTGATTACAGTTTAAACATTTAACTTTAATGATTCCAGAACCAGATTACTGACGGAAATGTCAAACTTGTTTTTAAATAAATAGTTGTTTTCGTTTACTCTTAATATTATTACCTACTAGCATCATGGCTAACTATTCGGATCCATTTGCAAGCTTAAGTCGTGTAGTGTATCGGCCGCAATATTCCTGCGCTTACCTCTAAGTACTTACATTGCTAACTATAGTACCTACTTAAAAATATAAATTACAAATGTCGGCTATATCTAAGTGTCATCTCATTTCTGCGCACATATTGATAGAACATTTTTCGTGTTTATGTGTGTGAGCAGGTCAGCGCGCCTCAGCCTCCATGATAAACTCGGTCATCATCATCTCCATGGAGGGCGCAATGCCGCGCTGCACGCAACCCTGCTTGAAGCAGTCTGCCACGTGCAGGATGCGCCAGCAGTGGTCGTCCTCGTGGTCGTACTGCTTCTCGCACGAGTGGATCAGCTCCACCATCTGCCGCGCCAGCACCTCGCCTGCACACGCAACATCTCTAGTACAGCAAGCGCAGTGAGGGCTCGGGACTACAGCCAAAAGCAGGGGCGACCTTACCGTTGGGGAAGGACTTGATAAACTGCTCGGTGTTGTCGTGGTGCATGCGACTGGAGTCCGTCAGCAGGTTGTAGTGCCGGCTCATGCACTGGATGGCGCAGCCCAGCTCGCGGTGCTCGAACTTGAAGTCATCACGCCAGAAGTGGAAGAACTCTTCCATTTTCTCCTCCGTCAGTTGACTCTGAAAGAGATTGTTTTTAATTAGTTTAATTATTACATTTAGATAATTATGACCCATGAAAGAAGCGATGGCAAAGGAGTTTTTACCATCGCCACTATTGGCATTTTTAGGACATTTTAAGATCGTTACTTGTATCTGAGTTTGACGTGGACAGTAACGTGACAACAGTACCTCCTGGCGACACTTGTCGAGCGCCTGCCCGAAGCCGAGAGTGACGTCTTTCATAACGTTGACGTCGGCGCGTAGCGGCAGCACGGCCGCCAGCAGCGGCAGCGCGCGCAACAGGAACAACATGGCGGGCGGCGGCGGCGAGTGTGGCGCTGCGCGGGCGCCGGAGCGCGCTATATAGCGCCGCCGCCGACGCTAATGTCTGTCATCACGGAGGAGGAGCTCGCCCGATCACATGCATCGCTTGTTTGTTTAACAAAGTAAGCTAGTGCTTCATACCAGTAGCACTAGGTCATCTTGTAAGTTACCTAGGTATATTTACAATAGACGAATTACCTAAGTACCTAATATTGAAAATATGAGCTTCGCTTACATCGGTAATCAGCAATAATTGATCTGTAAATCACCCATTTAGCGTTTTACAGCTAAACGTTTTACTGGCTGTTGTAACTGCTTGCCGCCAGAACCACTCACCAGAAAGCAAAAATCGTGTAAACAGTTCGCACTTGAATCGGCTGACACCGTGACGGGCGACAGACATGATCCGTCTCTTATAAAATGTATTGCAGCGTTCTTCGGCTACTCTTACGTAAATATTGGTAGAACATGTCCGCCTTGGATTCACGCATCCGTTTTTTCATCTGGACAGCGGTTTACTCGTCGTCTACTACGTTCCCATCGCCTCCACTCCAGCAGATCCTGTCCTGCACATGTACTACGCCACTTGCCACTTGGCTCACCCGCTGCTGCTTGAGGATGACGATTTGTGTCACTATGTCTGATGTTTTACCTAGTTTAAACCACAATACCAAATATATAATGAAAATAATGTGGATAAACAAATATGAAGCGCTTGGGGTTGGTCAGCCATGCGTCGCAGGTACATACACAGAGAGGTCACCCGGCCGCGACAGGGACATCATTAGGAGCCCCCCAGTCATTAGCTGCCGCGCCGTGTAATGTAATTAGGTCTCATTACCGGGCTTCAGTAAATAATTGGACATTTCGCAACATGTCATTCTGGCTGCACGCCGGTCTTCATTGTCCTCTCGTGCAGTGGACGTGCGCGGGTGCACGGCTGCACCGGCTTCACATATTTAGGAGCGATTACTTACGCCACGCGCGGTCCCATACAATATCAAGAAAACTTCTGAACTGATTTTAATGAAAATTGTTGCTCATCGCATCATAATCTATACTCATATTTCAATAATAGCTAACAAGTTTGTTTGTTCGCTTGAACGTGCTTGGAATAATTTGTTGAATACACTTAATATTATCGTGATATTTTTAGCTAAAAATATCACGCTTCGACCAATAGGAGCCGGGCAGACGCCGAAAATGTAATTAAATACTTTTTTTTCTCTTTATTTATTATTAGGGGCTTTTACACGGACGTGTATGCCAGTCCCATCATACCTTGTACTAATACAATCTAACTAAAATGTAATCAGGCGAACATAAATACTTTGGCGGCAGCCTCCGAATTAGGTGTAGATAAAAGATTGTGATATACACCTACATTATACATATTTAAGTTTAAGTCCTTAAATAATTTTACTCGGTCAGACTGAAATCTGGCACATTCCAACAATAAGTTACATCTTCCGGTGTTCCACATACAATTAAATACTTAAGAATGTTTTCAGTAGTAGCGCCCCGTACATACCTCTAAATTGAGGTATTTTCGTTGTGTTTCCTCTCGAACCTGTAATCATATTTGATTTGAAGCTTCGTCATGATAGTTTGAACGAAGTCTAAGAAAGTAGGTACAGTGGAGCTGAATGTATAACGATACTAGCTTTTGCCCGCGACTTCGTTCGCGTGGACTTCAGGTTCGTCCCCTCTACTCTTGTTGGGTGTCTTTCATGCAGAGGCAGACCCAAGATCCGCCACGCTGCTTCGTTACTACTAACATATCTGCCGGCTCGATACGTTTGCACCTCATCTCTCGGGTCAATATTAACATTCCCTTGCTGTCGAATGTTAAAAATAGCCTGGTCGCTGTCTTTGTTTATATATTTACAAATATATTTTATCGCCTATACCGTATAGTAGAACTCTACATTTATGTGACAGTTATAAATTTTAGACAGAAGAGGAGAATATGGGACAATCCAGCTATTGTCAACCAATACTTCCTGTGTTCCACCTCGGGTTTTTAGAGTTATCGTACCGCCGCCATCTCCTGGTGCTCTACTCCTGTACAAAGGATAGCCTTTGTCGTTAGTTTTAGTATCTTTTAAAAGCGCCCTTTGGATACTTTTTGGTGCATTTTCTTTCTTTTATGCATGAAATATCTTTTTGTACGTGTAACTCCCAACCAAAAAGAAACCTGGCAATAAGTAACCTTAGGCCTATATTACTTCGGGCACGCTATTATAGTAGCGGTAAGACCCCTCTTTGAGAAGTGAGAGCCACGGCGTCCTCACCTTCCGCCTGACGCAGGTGCTTACCGGGCACGGCAGCTTTGGTAGGTTCCTGTTTCGGATCCAGCGGAAGGAAACGCCCGAGTGTCGTCATTGTGAGGATCACCTGGAGGACACGGTGGAGAATACGGTGGCGGAGTGCCCTGCTTGGGCTGAGCACCGCCGTGTTCTCGGGGAAGCGATCGGCGGCGGCGACCTCTCGCGCCCGGCTTAATCGAGGCCATGGTGCAGCGTGAGAGGAACTGGGAAGCTATCTCCTCCTTCTGCGAAGCAGTTATGCTCGCAAAGGAGGAGGCGGAGCGCGCGAGGGAACTATCCTCCTCGCGCCCCAGCCGCCGCAGAAGGCGACATTCCAGGCGTCGGGGATCGAGAGATGATCTCCGGCCACCATAAGCGCGGGTCTGCGGACGACGAATGTGGGTAGCTCGCCGCCCGACCAGAACCATACCCGAGCGTACGGCGCGTAGCGTTCCGCGCGCGCCTCGATGAGCCAATAGACCACCACAGACGGGGCCCTATAGGGCTGACGTTGAGCTGGGGTTGCGGGGTAAGCGCAATGAGGAGTAGGAACAGGGGGGTTTTTATTCAGTAAGAGTCTGACACTCCCTCCCGCCTGACCCTGGGCGGGAGAAGTCATTTGATGATTTTCCCCTCACAAAAAAAGGCCTATATTACTTAAAGTAGGCGACCATACGTTTTTATCAAATCGCTAGTGCCTTGAAAATTCACAAAACGGACACAACCGTCAACGACGTCCTTCACGTCGCGCATTCAGCGATGAGCCACTTCTTCCCCACCGCACCTACCCCGCTCCCCCCACGCCCCGTTCGCCAGGCACCGCTGCCGGTATTTATCGCCGAAATTGCTATGACTCTGCATTTTAAATCTGTGATATCATCGAAAATATTTATTTATTTTACATGCTGTGAAAGCCATAGTGATCTTTATTAAATGCACAATGTATTTAAGATACTTAATTGGATAAGGATTAATACTGTAGTGCTTAAAATCGCTTCGTAAATAAGCCATTATTTCTCGTACAAAGTAAAGAATAAATAAAAAAATTATTATTAAAAAAACAAAATACCCGACTGCACACTAAAAAAAGAGTAAAACAAGCCCCACAATACAAATTTACTGAATATAATTTATAAATGTTGATGGAAAGCATCGCAGGCGGGGACCAACAGAGGCTTATTTATAGTCATTTCTGTTGTGCACCATTTAGCAGAATTTTCGTTGGTGGCGGTCAAGGTGGTCCCCGCCTGCGATGCTTTCCATCAACATTTATAAATTATATTCAGTAAATTTGTATTGTGGGGCTTGTTTTACTCTTTTTTTAGTGTGCAGTCGGGTATTTTGTTTTTTTAATAATAATTTTTTTATTTATAACTTTTTAGCTGTTTTTATTTAACGAAAATGTTGTAGATGTAGAAGACTATGTATATGTAAGTACCATTTTAAATTATTTCGACGACATTTGGCTTTAGATTACGAGTGATGTTACTCCGCAACATAAATTTACCGCCAATCTGGACTGTTGGTAGTGAAGAAGAAAAAGAATTAGGAAAAAATCGCTATTTAGAGACGACCGTCAACGACGTGTGCCCTTATGCGTGTGCCCGCATTCGGGCTGTATACTCGAGCATATCCCCCTCCGCACCGCGCCGCGCGCCGCATGCCAGGCCACGCCCTATCTTTTTGCTTGCTAACGCATGAGTTGCTTTGCGTTGACGCAGAATTAACATGTTCCCGTGGGAATTTTGAGAAAAAACGTATCCTATATTAATTACTCCCGTGATTGAAATGAATCTAATGATACCGCATACATATTTTTTTAAAGGGAAATTTAGAAAAAATATTATTATGTCTTTATCCCGTGGGACTTTTAGGATAAAATGTATCCTATGACACTCCCGTAATCAAGACAAATCTAACGATACCTCATACATCAAAATCCATCAAGCCGTTTAGGCTACAGGAGGTCACAAAGGAAAAGACATACATACATACTTACATACACTCGAAAAACATTACCCTCCTTCTTTGGCAGTCGGGTAAAAATGGTTATTGTGGATTATTCCTAAGAGATAAACATATACAATCACGGACTTTTTTGTAGACCTTTTTAAATTGTACAATACTGTAGTACATTGTTTTGATCTATCTTGTAGGATTCAGTCAGCGCGAGCGTTTGCAATGTAAGCGCAAAAAATGTGTTTTTTTTACGACCTCACATTAGTTTCTAATGTGAGGTCGTAACACACACATTAGAAACCTTAACAATTGTAGCCTATGTGTTATTCTGATGTATAAGCTATATTGTGGTAAAGTTTCATTCAAATCCATTCAGTAGTTTTTACGTGAAAGAGTAACAAACTTCCATACATCCATACTTACAAATTACAAACTTTCGCCTTTATAATAGTAGTAGGATCTAAATAACGATTTTGAAAATCTAGAAATAGGTAGTAGATTTTACGGCTGTATATGGAGCCTGTTGCCTGCTGCTGTTTGAATGAGAATTGAGGTACAAAATGTACCTACTGCCGAGACTGTTGGCGATCAAACATGTAAAGCGATGGATGAATGTAGATAACGTGGAACGCTCAGGTACCTCCTTGTATCACAATCGTGTCATTTAACGTTCCTATAGGTCTGCTATCTTAATGGGAGCTATGAAAGAGATCATTTATCGTACCGATTTT